CAATAGAAATATTAATCAAAAGAGCAGTTAGATTGATAACGAGATCCAAACGATTTGAACACAGTCAACCATTGTTCAACAGCACGCGAAACTTGAATTTCTCGAAACTCAGCATTTACTTTCTGATGATTTTTGTTTATAAACAGTTAACCAATCGATTACCTGATTTATTTAACAGTTATTTCAGGATGAAACAACAATGTCGGCAACAAAATAATCTTGTCTCTAACAAATCGAAAACGAATATTTTGTTCTCTCACGTGTATTGCAAGGGACCGAGAATCTGGAACGAAATTTTAAACAGTGGATTTAATTCTGAATTTATTTCGTTAAACAATTTTTAAAAAAAAGTTAAAAGAATATTTACTTAAGTTTAAAACATAAATTTTTAGTTTTTGAAATTACGTTTAAATTCTGTTGAAAACTTATAACATTTTAAAAATTATGTCAAGGTGGTCACACTCGATGAGTTTCTGAAAAGAACTCTACTGTGGTCATCCTGTCTTCTTCCTATTGATATAAAGGGGAGAGAATTCTTTTTTTTCTCTTTTTTTAGATTAATTTTGAGAAGCAAATAAAAATTCGTTTCGTTTCGTTTCGTATGTATGTATGTTAAAACCAAAACATGATGAGTGTCACTGAACCGTCAAACATCAAGTAACAAATGGATTAACACTTTGATTTGTCGTTAATTGCACATGTCGGCATTCAGTTGGATATTTTCAAACACACAGACACGCAGGAACCGCTGCAACAAGCACGAAATGTGGTTAGTTGCGAAAAACAGTTCTCTGCTGTCGCCTGATCTGACGCTGATCATTTTACATATTGCCTTAAGAAATTTAAGGGTGTTGGGGTCCATCGGGCTGAGGACTTCGATACATATTGGCAAGAATTCCAGCGAAGGGAGGGCGTTCCCATATTTTTTCATTTTCTCGTCCGCTGCCCTGGCCGCGGCTAAACCGCATTCTTTACTTGTCAAGTTTACGTATCGTTCGGCGAGGGTGCTAGGGACCGTAACATCCCACGCCAAACATCTGCCGGCTCTCCAAGGTATTAGTGTGCATCCGTCCGGGCGCCTACCATCATGCGCAGAAATGCCGGATGGTTCCTTGAGAACCGGGATTGAAGCCTTGGAGAAGAGTCGACAAATGTATTCGTTTAGCGCTGAGTGACGTAGTTGACGGCCCCCACCCAGGCGACAAACCAAACCGTGGTGCCCAAACCCGTCAGCCCCTGCGCCACATCGGCAAGTGTATTTATTCGTGTATTTATTTGTATGTATGTATGTATGTATGTATGTATGTATGTATGTATGTATGTATGTATGTATGTATGTATGTATGTATGTATGTATGTATGTATGTATGTATGTATGTATGTATGTATGTATGTATGTATGTATGTATGTATGTATGTATGTATGTATGTATGTATGTATGTATGTATGTATGTATGTATGTATGTATGTATGTATGTATGTATGTATGTATGTATGTATGTATGTATGTATGTATGTATGTATGTATGTATGTATGTATGTATGTATGTATGTATGTATGTATGTATGTATGTATGTATGTATGTATGTATGTATGTATGTATGTATGTATGTATGTATGTATGTATGTATGTATGTATGTATGTATGTATGTATGTATGTA